AACGACAAATAAGGGAATTGAGAAGCACTCTGTGTCTGTTTTTTTTCTCCCTCTCTCTCTGTTGGTTGCTGTGGGCTTTCCTGGTTTGGCAACTTTTCCTTACCATACTGCAATCAGCACACCTGACCATCATCTAGCCCAGTCAGCCTCCCATCAAAAGCCAGGCCATGCTGAGTCATGTTTAACATAGTGTGCCAGAGTACATGTTTGTTGGCTTCGTTGAGCCCAGAAACTCTATAGTTTCCTCCCTGCCTTTCTAACATCTGATATTTTCTGTCATCACAAACCGACAATCAGATTTCTGTCTCTGCCAGTCAAGCCAGACTGCCAACTCACATTCAAGAAACCCCAACTTCAACCCCAACCCCAGCCACACACCATACTACTCCCTAAATCTTCATAGTTTTTTGTTATATAAACCTCTTAAACCTTTCCTGCCAGTCTGCTTTTGGGTTTAAGCCCAATACCTGACACCAACATGATACTAAGTCTGAGCTGTCAAACTTCGAGTTTTCCGTTTCAGAAAGGCCGATCAGAATAAGTTCAATCAACTCTGAGTATGTTGAGCCTGATGGAAGCGCGTGCGTGGGGATGAAAAAAAGCCATCATCAATGGAGCTCCGATACTACTATTCACCATGGCAACGGGTAAATAAAGGCAGAGCCTCCATTTTAATTGGGTGGAGCTAGAAATATGAATATGTGCCAACGCGGACCCTGATTGGCTCTAAAACGCAGGAGTGGAGGATCGATACGTTAACAATATTACTTTTTATAGGCTACAGCGTTGCGTATTCATCATTAACCAGACTGGAATTTCCTTAATGAATGATAAAGTGCTGGAATTCTCCTACATCCGGTTATTCATATTAAATAGCTACAGGTCTGTTTATTCAGCTAACCTGACTGGACTAAATGCCAGTGGCAATAACTGAAGAGGAAAATATTAATCGAACAGATTAGACACAGTTTAGGCTCCTCATGGACCTGTGATTGTAAAGTGACGTGATTGTAAAGTGACGTGATTGTAAAGTAAGGTTCATACTTACTGTGAAGTTTTAGATGTCTTTGTTACATTAATGAAATCTTGCTCATTTCATATTTTATGAAATGCTGTCAAAACACATTCAGGCTATCAGCAAAAAAACCCTCACTTTTAAACCACATTTATTTGTTTCAGCTGCACCACCTTCATCCTCACTCAGAAATATTCACATCATATCCAGTTGATAACTACGATGGGAATGTTCAATCTGTGCGACTACAATATGAAAGGTTACTGTTCATTGATCAGTTTTATACAGATTAGCCTACTTTAAACAGTGATTAGGCCAAGCCTACTGCAGCACTGTAGCGCACAGTAGTAGTAAGTGTTTTGCCTTAATGTCCACAGAGTCACTGTGTTATAAAGCACAGTGTAGTTTATAGATTTTATTCTGTGCTGAGGATAAATTTACGATGTCCAAAGATAACTCTCTGTCCATACATCGATGACAATATTGATCATAAAAGCGTCATGGTCAAGATCATGTTTGGGTAAAAAAAAACTAACAGCCTATTTAACCGTGATTTCGATGTTTCTAAAGACGTAACTGTGTGATATCGACAGTCTGAATGAGGAAATGTCAGACAGCCGCTTCAAGCTCCGCAGGAGGGGAGGAGTCAGAGAGAAACTCAGTGTTCCCCTTCGAGGGAAACCGAACTGCCTCGTTGACGACACTATGGGAACGCCTCTGGCTGTGGCAGGGCTGAATTATGAATGAAACTACTCCAATCCTATTGGCGTTGCTAGAACGGTAGTGTGTGACGGCGTAACTGGAGGCGTATATAAGCACGCCGACACACAGGACACATTAGCTCTTTGCTATGAAGCAAGGCACTCCAGGTGGGGTGGGGTGTGGCAGACCAACGCAGTGTCTCGTTCCCCTTCTCGGGGGAACAAGGGTTACATACGTAACCCGAGACGTTCCCCTTTGAGGGAACTCGAACTGCGTCGGTGATGACACTATGGGAACGAGATCCCATAAACCCCCGCCTGCCCCCCAGCGTGCAGTAACCTGTACGCACGACTAAGAGATGAGCGCACTGGTGCCGGGTGCAGAAGGAAGGTCTAGACTGAACTAAAGGCGGGCCGGCAGTAAACTAAATGAGCGTTTTCTGCGGCACCACGCGCCGCCCCCGCGCCGGTCCTTGCCATTCTTTCCTGATATACACAATGAGTTGTGTAAATCATGGAATAGGACCATCATTCAGTCTCGGCGGGCCCGGGCTGAGGTTTCCAGTAGGGGGGCCCACTACCACCTGAGATTCGGGTTCAAGATGCCACCATCCCCGCCATCGTCAGTCACATCCAATCCGAGGATTGGTTTGTCATGATAGATCTGCGAGATGCATATTTCCACATATCCATCCGTCCCTCTCACAGGAAGTTCCTGAGGATTGCCTTCAGGGCGCGGCGTACCAGTATCGGGTTCTTCCGTTCGGCCTAGCACTCTCCCCTCGCACGTTCACCAAGTGCATGGATGCAGCTCTGGCCCCGATGAGGCTCCAGGGCATCCGCATATTGAACTACATCGACAACTGGCTCATTCTGGACCAGTCTCGGGAGTTAGCGGTTTGGCATCGAGATGTCGTCCTCGCCCACCTTCACCATTTGGGGCTGCGGCTCAACACGAAGAAGAGCGTGCTGACGCCCGCCCAATGGACTACGTTCCTAGGGGTGGTGTGGGACTCAACGACGATGCGGGCCCACCTGTCTCCTGCACGCGTCGAGTCCATTTTGTCCACAGTGACCAGAGTGCAACTAGGCCGCACCATCACTGTGAAACACTTTCAGAGGATGTTGGGTCTCATGGCAGCAGCGTCCAGTATAATACCTTCTGGCCTACTGCACATGAGAGCCCTGCAGTGGTGGTTAAAATCCAAGGGATTCTCCCCAAGGGGAAATCCACTCTGTCTGATACAGGTTACGAGCAGGTGGCTTCATTCCCTGTCAGAATGGAGGAAACCTTGGTTCCTGTCCCAGGGTCCCGTGTTGGGAGCGTCATGTCGCCGAATAATTATTTCGACAGTCTCCTCACTCACGGGGTGGGGCGCGGTCATGGATGGTCGCTTTGCGAGAGGCTCATAAATTGCCTGGAAATGTTGGCGGTTTTCAGAGCTCTGAGGAGTTTTCTGCCCGTCCTCCACGGTCACCACATCCTTGTCAGTGGTGGCCTATTTGAATCACCAGGGGGGGTTTGTGCTCCAGGTTTCTCCTCGATGTCTGGAGTTTGCCCCGGGGAGGGTCAGAGCCATCCTATGTCCCTAAGGTTCCGTCCAGTTTGGCAGGGTCCACGGTGCTGCAGGCGTTTCATCCCCCACCTCCTGTGATGGTGGAGGACGGGAGACTTCATCTGCTCTGCCCTGTAAGAGCGCTGAGTATTTACACTCTGAAGTCTTCCCGGTGGAGGAAAGCAGACCAGTTGCTGGTGTGTTTCGGGTCCCCCAAGGCTGGGCTCCCCGCTTCTAAACACACGATCAGCAACTGGATTGTTCAGACTATTTCCCTGGCCTATCAGGTGCGCGGGTTGCCTTCACCTATGGCCGTGAGGGCACACTCTACTCGAGGCATGGTGGCCTCTAGGGCCCTCCTCACAGGGGCTTCGCTCCAGGATTTGTGTGAGGCAGCTGACTGGGCCACTCCTCACACTTTTATCTGGTTTTACAGTCTAGACCTTCCTTCTGCACCCGGCACCCGTGCGCTCATCTCTTAGTCGTGCGTACAGGTTACTGCACGCTGGGGGGCAGGCGGGGGTTTATGGGATCTCGTTCCCATAGTGTCATCACCGACGCAGTTCGAGTTCCCTCAAAGGGGAACGTCTCGGGTTACGTATGTAACCCTTGTTCCCCCGAGAAGGGGAACGAGACACTGCGTCGGTCCGCCACACCTCTCCCCACCTGGAGTGCCTTGCTTCATAGCAAAGAGCTAATGTGTCCTGTGTGCCGGCGTGCTTATATATGCCTCCAGTTACGCCGTCACATGCTACCGTTCTAGCAACACTAATAGAATTGGAGTAGTTTCATTCATAATTCAGCCCTGCCACGCCCAGAGGCGTTCCCATAGTGTCGTCACCAACCCAGTGTCTCGTTCCCCTATGGTTCACAGCGTAAGTTGCCGGGGTTACAGACCTAGAGTTTATCTGATCTCGCTCTCTGAAACCGAAAACCCAGAGTTTCCCTCATCTCGGGCTCAACATACTCAGAGTTTTCACTAAACCCACTTTCTAAAACAAGCCCCTGTTCTTGCATATTTATTTATGACCCAAAAAGGCAGATACTGTAAAATTTAAATTAAACGCCTAGTCCCAATTAGAGCTTGTCCCCTTTACGGGCCTGGTGTAGTTATGGAGTATTTTATAGGTCTATTTACCCAAGTTATTGACTTTTTTAAATGAGTAAGGCAAACCAGGCTATGCACTGAAATAGGTCTACATCTAGAAATCAGTAAACAATGTGAAGTTGATTGGATAAGTTGTTTTTCTATTAACATGTAGGCCTATGTGAAATATTTTACAAAAAACAAGGGCTTATCAGGAAATGTCATTTTCATCTTTCTACAATAATATCCTACTTCACCTGGCTTTTACCCTTGCACATATCGGTTACATTAAACAAAGTTTTACAGACAAAATGAAATTTATTATCAGATGAGAATCAATAACATTGTATCAGTTGTTTTTGTAATAACATGTGTGAAATATTTACTGTAAATAAAATGGCTTATCATGAGTGGCAACAGAAGTTTTCATCTTTCTGGTGCCTTCATACAGATTTCACCCACTTAGATTTTTGCACAATTAAAACTGTTTTACAATAATACTTCTACAAAATGTTTTATTATAGTCTGAGCAGTCCTAGGAAGGCTACAGTATGATATACAGTAGGCAGTTAATTAAATAAAGGAAAATAAAATAGACTCTAAAAACTGTTAACTAAGTTACATGAGTTAAAACTAAAATATGTTTGTTTTTCTGTCAGCCATTCATGACAAGCTCTTGTGGGAGTCTTCATGTTGCTGAAAAGGTATGAACAGCTGGACAGCTCCAATCCTGAGCAGAGCACCTCACGCAACCACATGGTGGCGTCAAAAGGTTTCTCAGAGTAGAGAGGCAACGGCCCTACAAAACAAAATCCATGGCATGAGTAAACTTGACACTAAGCAATAGAGCATTTCCCAACATGTGTCTACCTGTTGTGAAATAAAGTATACCATAAAATGGCAATGTGTTGTGAAAGGTGAGAATTCTTACTGAAAGAGCGACCCAGATAGCTCATCAACAAGGCCACCTGAAAAACAAGCAAGACACACAAAAGTTAAGAAAGGATAAAGTTGACGAAATATATAAATTAATTTCACAAATTAGTATAACAGTATTTACCTGGTGTGCAAATTGTGTCACACAGTAAGGGGCAAATATAGCAGGATGAGCATCCCTGGAAGACAAAAAAGGTTCAAATGAGGAGGTCTTGTCCACTGAAATGTTGCCTTTCATGTGTATTATTTACAGTATTTTGGATGGTGAAGAAGCAGCTTACCTGGCAGTGCTCACAGTGATCTGATTCCTCTCCTTCACAGGGGCAGTTATCACACTTATTAGAACAGTGCTAAAAGCAGGACACAACATGTACAGTTATGAGTAGTCATTCACCAATTATCAGTGTGACTGTAACAAAGCCAGACTTACTAATAAACAGTTCAGCTTAGGATGAAAAGTTGTGGGTTATTAAAGTGGGTTATTTGAAAAAAGCACAGACTATTCATAAATGGGTAGATATCCCATTAAAGACTCATAGTTTTACCTCACAGATGGAGCAAACACTACACAAAGAGCTGGGGTGGAACTGCAGCATGTCAGTGGCCGGCTCCTCGTCACTTGTGTCATCCTGCTCATCTTCTGTTGCATCGTCACCATCAACAGAGTCAACAACAAATTAGAGCTACATCAGTATATTAGCCTGGCAGATAGGTATATCATTGTTGGTGTGTACAGTATCGCTAAGTAGGTTTGAGGTATTTTTACACTGAACAAAATTATAAAACGCAACACTTTGGTCCCCCCCCCCCCCCCTATGTACACAAAAGGCTCATTTCTCTCAAATATTGTTCACAAATCTGTCAGAATCTGTGTTAGCAAGCACTTCTCATTTGCCGAGATAATTCATCCACCTCACAGGTGTGGTATATCAAGATGCTGATCAGAGAGCATGGGTATTGCACAGGTGTGCCTTAGGCTGGCCACAATAAAAGGAAGGTTTGCACCTTCCTTTCAAATGTATTAAATACAGATGCTGTTGCACTCACATGAAATTGCGTTTAGGTTTTGTAGATCACGTTGCGTATAGTAAATAAATGTATTTGCATGTTACCCTCCCATTACTTTGCACAATAAAATTGAAACGACCCAAAGGCAAAAGTACTAAATCAACAACAAGTGCTATCTTGCACTTTTGAACGCCGTTCTGCGTGCACACTATTAGATCAGCCCACATGTTAATTTGCTGGTGATATCAAATTTACACAGGTTTTTACTCACCCAAACCTCTAGTAAATTTGGCCCCTAAAACTGAAAGTCTAAATAAAAAATGCATTAGGTATTTAAGATCGGGCATTTGGGCATTTAGGAGGGGCATTTAGGATTGGGCATTTGGGATTTAGGATTGAGGAGTGAATGCCAATAAGGGGGCTTGGCCCAAAGACTGGAGGCTGGGTTTGAAAAGGCTGGTGCGCAGAGGCAGCTCTGTGTGCAAAAGAGCACACTGCAATGAAACCAAACACAGCCAGTGAGCAGGGCTGGAGGGCAGACTATACTTTATAATGTGATAACTTCAACTGCAATGAAAGCGTTTCATTTCTGTTGCCTCACACAAAGTCACCAGTGAAAGGAGCGTTATCAGTCTGGGTATCATTGGATAATCTGTAATTCATTTGTACTTCAAAAATGATATAAAAATAATATTTAGTCTAAATATATATTAATACATATTAAAATAACATAATTTGACATTATCCTTATGCATAAAAGCAGTGCCACAATTGTTGCACAAAAGTTGTGGCTTACCATAAATCCTGATCTAAACATCTGAAGGCGACAACAGGACCCTTTTATGGTGCTGGAGGAAGGAGTGGTGTTCTGCTTTGTCCTGCCAGTCCAGCATTTATTTGAACAGAGAGAGATGGTAGGTTACTAGGACTAGTCTTGCTACTATCATCAGCCCTGAAACTCTGCACAGGCTCAGAGTGATCTTGAGGAAAATCTGGGAGGTTTTGGTAGGTTTTCTTGCAGGGAGAAAAACTGAGTGACTCAATTTCACTTTTATTTTACTTTACACATGTACGAACAATGCAGAGCACTGCCTTTCCCTGGTGGCTCATCAAACAGAATTAAACCCAAGACAGGCAGTAAAAGATCTGAAAGCCTTAGAGCAAGGGGAGATGAGGAGATGCTTCTCTCTCTCTCTCTCTCTTTTTAAAACACATTATGCTTTTTTTAGTGAATATCTACTGACCATCATGAGCTATTCTTTACAGATGTGTGTTTTCCCTACTGCCTTTAAAACTGCTATGGTGAAGTCCCTTCTGAAGAAGAATAGAAAGACATAAAATGAACTGTGTTGTTCCACAGGGCTTAATTTTAGGCCCTACCCTTGTTAATCTGTACATGCTGCCACTTGGAGACGTCATCAGGAGCCACGGCATCAATTTTCACAGTTATGCTGATGACAACCAGTTCTACATTGCCGTGTCCCCTGATGACCCAGGACCAGCACGTTTTCTGCAGCTCAATCAGGACAAAACAGAAGTATTGGTCATTGGTTCAGAATCTCAGTTTTGAGTCACATATAAGAAATATTTCTAAGACTGCTTTTTATCATCTCAAGAACAATGCTAGAGTACGACCCTTTCTCTCTCAAGCAAATACAGAGACACTTATCCATGCTTTTATTACCTCCAGGATTGATTACAGTAATGCTCTGCTTTCTGGTCTTCCAAAAAATAAAATCTCTAAACTGCACCTGCTTCAAAACACTGCTGCACGTCTTTTGACTAAGACCAGAAAGAGAACACACATTACCCCTGTCCTAAAGTCTCTGCATTGGCTTCCAGTTAATTTTAGAATTGATTTTAATATCCTTTTACTACTTTATAAGTCACTTAATGGTATTGGTCCAGAATACTTATCAGATTTGCTGTTACCTTATGAACCTACTAGAACCCTCAGATCCTCTTGTAGTGGCTATTAATTATTCCTAAAGCCTCAACTAAAACTTACGGTGAGGCGTCCTTTCAATGTTATGGCTCTCACCCTTCTTGTTGAGCTGAGAACAGCGGGAAATCTGGACATGTTTAAAGGCAAACTAAAGACATACCTATTTAACCAAGCTTTTAACTGAGCTGTATTTATTTGAAATAGTTTATTTACATTATTTATTTATTATACTTTTAGTATTGATGGGCTGCTTTTCTAGTGCTTGTTGTTCTGTGGTCCTAGGGTTTTAGTGTTTTGGGGGGGGCAGGGATTGATGTTTGGCTTGATCTGCTAGTCCCCCCTGGTGCTCATTTGTGGTAGGGCTTATGGGCATTATATGGGGGTGGTACTATTACATTATTGTGGTTTTTAAATGGCTCTGTAGTGTGAAGCACTCTGTGTTACATGTATTTGTATGAAAAGTGCTATATAAATGAAGATTAATTGATGGATTGCTTTTTTACTCATAATAATGCTCACCAGGTTTCACACATAAGTAGGCCTACCTAACTAATGAGAACAACAGGCTTCATGTAAAATATTTAATCTAACATAATTACACTGGCAAATTAAATGTCATAACATTGCAAAAATAGAAAAAACTCCACAGATGTGTTTTGGAAAAGTTTTGCTCTGACACAGAAAGGGTAACAGTAGATTGCAGAAGCTGAGAGAGATTTTAACAGCGATAGTGCCATTAAAAGAGTAGCAAGAAGGCATGGCTTCAAACTCAGTGATTAGCTTCCTGTGGTAGCCGTGCTAGCTTTCTTTTCAGAACAGTATTGCCACTGGGCACCGCAGCAGGGGGTACAATGGCCTCTGCTGGTTGAGCTTCTACATAGCAAGTATAAATATTAAAACTATAAATTAAATAATAATTAAAACATTAATTTCTCCTCAGCTTCATATCACACTAGTTCACGTTATCTTAATCTGAAGTTACAGGTTACCAATATGGTCTTAAAAATGTTTTATTAACAGCCAGAATTATTATTGTAATTTTATTAGTTGTAATTGTTATTTCAGTTATCCTAAATGTTTAGTTTAAGTAAACTATAATCACCTTGCTAACTACACAGTCCATGGGTGATTTTTCAAATCATAAAGGAATTCTGACACCAAAAACGGATATTTCGGTTTTTGTTTTGAAACAAATAACAGATTACAATTACAATTATTAAAACTTTGGTGTTCCTGCTGTAATCAGATTTTTATTTGATTCGTAAAACCTGAGAATTGTGGGTATTCTGACTTCAGCAACTCAGTAATTAGCAGATTATTTAAAGTTTTTATTTTAAGCGTTCTTCCTTTTGCACTAACATGTGTGTTAATATTGCTTCTATCTGAATGTTACACACTTTAACAGTACCTGTTTTGGGGTCTCAAAATAGCCACACTGGCGCAACAAAAGGCACGAATGGTTTAGGTTCTTCCAGCTACCACACAGATAAGCCTGTCTATTTTAGGACTGATATGTGTGACTACAGTAGCTGCAGCTAGGGCTGCTGTAGAGTTAGGGAACAATAACTAGGAAAAATAATCGTGTTGAACTTTATACTAAATCACTGCTGATATATAGTTTAGTATTTTGATAACCCATCAATCTATTTTAAAACCCAATATATATATATAAAAAAATGTGAATACCGTCATCTTCCTCTGCTTCAGTTGCATCCTCATTGTCAGACTCATCCTCTTCGTCGTCCTCCTCAGCATCACCAGCTTCCTCTTCCTCACCAAACTCCTCTCCTTCAGTTGCCTCCTCAACCTCTTGAGAAGCCTCCTCATCTTCCTCTTCATCATCATTTTCACTTGTGGCCGCCTCCTCCTCCTCGTCTTCCTCCTCCTCATCTGCTGGTGCCTCATCATCCTCCTCTTCCTCATCTGCAGCCTCTTCATCTTCTTCCTCCTCCTCATCTGCAGCCTCTTCATCTTCTTCCTCCTCCTCATCTGCAGCCTCTTCATCTTCTTCCTCCTCCTCATCTGCAGCCTCTTCATCTTCCTTTGCTGCCTCCTCAGCGTCAACTTCCTCTGCATCTTCCTCGTCTTCATCAGCTGCCTCCTCTTCCTCAGCAGTCTCTTCTTCCACATCTTCCTCCTCATCAGCGGTCTCCTCTTCCTCCTCCAATTCATCAGTCTGTGAATCATTATCTGATCCTTCAGCATCTTCCTTCTCAGCTACCTCTTCCCCAGCAGCGCCATCATCGATCTCAGCGTCTTCACCCTCTTCAGCCACAACCTCCTCAACATTTCTGGCACGCAAGTCTTCCTCAGCTACGTCCTGGGCACTCACTACACCAGAGAGCGGGACCTGCGATGGGCACAAGAGAACCAGCAGGAGCCCCACAACCCAGCCTTTCACAGGTGCCATTTTGGAAGACACAGTTACAGAGTTAACACTGTGGATTATTGTCTCTACCTTGTTTATCCAGAAAAAACAAATCGACAGGTTTTTATCACTTAAAAATCATTAAATCCACAGAAAATGTAATTGAGCTGCAGGTGATTCAGGGATATTGTTCAGGTCTTTGCTCCAAGCTACAGACGGGGAGCAGAGGGCTGTGCTCACAAGACTGAGAGCAGTGTGCCAGCCTTGTGCTGGGAACACAGAGGACACAGTGGGAACACAACTGGGTGTGGTGTAGTTGTGTGGCTGCATGTGCATGAGTGACAGAAGCACATGTCAATGAAGAATGCTCCTGATGTCCTTAACACAGTGTGTTAGGGAAGTGGGTGTATGCATGTGGCAGATGGGGGTGGGGAAAAGAGAGGTCAAAGAACATATGGAAATGAGAGGGAGGGAGAAGTTCAAACACTGTAATAATTACTGTAAATAATTCTAATTTAAGTTAAGTTTACTTTAATATACTCTAAACTTTGTTGTCATTGTGCCAAATTCTTTGAAGATAGAGAGAGAGATAGATAGATAGATAGATATTCTAAATGAGATACACACACAACAACTTTCGCTATTTATTCTCTGCCAAATAGTTATTAGAGGTGCAATCATGCACCAATAAACTTATTTTTTTTGGACTGAATCTACTAGTGAACCTGGCTGAAACACACACCTGCATGTTTCACAAAATATGAACTGCTCGCAAAACAAGTTACAATTAACAAAGGGTTAAACCATCACGTCTCAGACACAGCCTTATCAGCGAAGTTAATATTTGCTCGCCAATCAAAAGCAGAGGTCATGTCAGAATAATGTATGGAATAGATGTAAATAGAAGGAAATGGAGAGGATGGTCGGTCTGCACATGCGGAATGTTCGTCGGCAACTGACATTCCAAAGTAATAGTTCACATTTGAAGTACGTAATGTTTTTATTACAGAGTTTTGATTATGGAGCCTGGTGAGAGACAGCAGAGAGATTTAGATTCAGCAACACTGCGGGTTGTGTTAAATGAGGAGCGTTTAAATGCAAGTTACACTGAAAATTAACATCAGTGAGACACAATTATGCTCACTTAACATGGGTACATATATGCACATGCAGCCATCATGCAGTAAGAGAGTAGAAAGTGATGACACCGTCTCTCTCAGTATGAGCGGCTGGTACGATTGACAGGTGGCCCAACCGGCTATTTACAGTAAAGGCTCCTTCAGCAGCCCTGTTCCACTATGTGACCTTCAATAGAGCCCTGCATACTGAAACTCAGCACCATGGTGCATGTTTCGCACTATCCATATCCCCTTCTCTTTACAGTATATCCAACTTCCTTGGTCCTATGTTTTTGTCACACATTCCCTCAGTGATTTTCTATTTAATTGTAAATTTAATGCCATGTCTAGTTTAATTTTACCTAGTTTCTTTGTACCAAGCGTACTATACTTTGGCGCCACACAAACATTTCATCTCCTAAAGTCTTTGCAATCTTGCTTTACTTTCTGGCATCTTTTTATCTCTGGCGAGAAACCATAGCTCCATTTAACACTTCTTTCTTGCCTACAGTGCTGAAGGTAGGCTGAATAAGAAGGGATTGTCAACAGAGAATCTGATTATTTCTCATTAAAGGGAATACACTTGCTTTCTTGCCCGAGAGTTAGATGAGAGGATTGAAACCCGTCCTATATCTGTGCAGCAAGTATGGAGTCCAATTAGCTGCTGTTAGACTGGGGACAGCAAGCCTGGCTCTCTCCAAATGCAACAAAATCCTGTAACTAATATGTTATTCTGTATCTTGAGCCAGGCTAGCTGTAGCCCCTTGTTTCCAGTCTTTGTGCCAAGCTAACTGTCTGCTGGCTCGGGAGAGTGGGCTCTATGTGACCTGGCAAGAAAGTGAATAAGCCTGTTTCCTAAAATATCAAACTAGCATTAGTCCTTTAACAGTAAGAATTCATTCATTATACTGTATATATAATGTACTGATGAGAAATAAACTGTGCAAAAGTAACACATATACATGATTTAACATTTCAGGTTGAAAGCAACCATTTATACTGAAAATAACTGAACACAAAATTACAGTGTGCACTGAATGTAGCCAATATAAACAATACAATAGTTACAAAACAGCACAGTACAAACCTATATAAAAACATGGCCATCTAATAACAACAGCATTAAAGACAAAAAAAAGATTTTGAAAAGTCAGTATTTTATTTTAATGCCCCAAATACTATAATAATCCACTATATAATCTACCAACCTATGGACAATTGTGTCTGTCCTATTTATTTTTAACTTATTGACAATGAGGGCAACCTCAATGGCTCTTTAAGTTAAAATAATGGTTTGAAATGAAATGAAACTGCACTGGCAAATAAAATACATAAAATATCATGCCACATCATAAATACATACACTTGACTTTGGCATTTGAATAAAGTCAATTGCACACTTGAAATTTCAGCTTTGTTGGTTGCTATTGTTTGACTTTTTTTCAGTTCACAACAAACTGAAATAATCTGCGTCCAGTGATGAACATGTCTCGCAAACAGCAAGACTGGAGGGTGGGTGGCACGGGGAGCAGCTTAAGTAAAAGCACTTCATCCTTGTCTTTTACAGGCCCTGAGCAAGTGAAAGCATCACCAAGGATGAATCAGGCTGAATTGGGAGAAGAGGCAAACTCATCTGTGTATAAGAAGAGGCAGTATAAGGTAGGCGAGGAGACAAGTTAGGAATGAATGACTCAAGGCAAACACTATACATCCAATAAACTAATAAAAACGAGCTTACTGAATACAACCTGTGCCATTCCAACATTTTGTTTCTGTGAATATACATGTATGCTATGATTTCAGAACTCCTTGGAAGTACCTTTTAATATAGGTGGAGGCCGAGGAGGTTTAAACGTGCTGCCTTGCGCCAAAGTATCCACAATCCAGCTGAGAGCATTTGAGCAATACTCCATCTGAGAGGGAAAAGACACAAAAGCTGTTTATTGACATACAGTTAAAGCTGGGGTAGGCAACAGCTATTAATAAATCAAATGCTCTGACACACAAATGAAAAGAATTGGGTATCTGTGGCTTTACAGGACTGTAGCACGGCCAATCAGGATGAAAGGATTGGCCAGCCTACCTGTCTGTCTGTCTGTCTTCCTACCCACCTGCGGCACTCGTGGCACATGAAAATGTGTTTTGAGGGACCAGCTTTGGAGAGAGCCTTGTGGGGAATGGGTAAGTTTTTTGGGTTGGATACTTTCAAAATCTGTCTGTCTCTTTCTAGTTCTCCAATGTGGCCACATTTTTATATAGGTTTTTACAGTTTGTACTGTGCTGTATTATATTGTTTGCTAACCCCAGCTTTAATGAGAATTCTAGCTTGACCAATGAATATCGTACAGTCCCATATGAACATCAACTTAAATAGTTCGTCATTTTGGGAAATCCAAAATTCGCGTTCGAGTAAAATGAGAAGATCAATACCACTCTCAGCCTGTTAGCTTAACTTAAGCAGAAAGACTGGAAGTGCTAAGAAAATCCAGCTACCAGCACCTGTAAAGCTAACTAATTAACATGTCTATTTTTTTTTATCCATGCAAAACCCAATAAAAAAAACTAAACAAAAAAACAAAACGCCATTTTACACCGTGTATGTGCCAGACAACTTTTTCAGCGGAGACTGGTCCCAGACAAAAAATCGTCCAGCACATAAGACCCCCACTAAAACAGCTTCAAACAAACGGTTTCTCCTTGTTTTCCCCCTCCCTCTCATTATGCTAAACTAAGCGAACCAGGTGCGGGCTGTACAGCAGCTTCATATTTACTGTACAGACATTGGAGTGTTATGAATCTAACTCTCAACAAGAAAGCAAATAAGCATATTTCCCAAAATGGTGAACTATTGCTTTAACAAATGTGAGATTTTACATACATAAACACATTTCGTGTTATCAACATCAGAACATAGTGTTCTAGTTGTCACCCAGCCCTGCGATATGTTATTTCACCTTTATGAAGAATAAGTTGACTGAGCATACACGCTCCGCCATGTACAGTATGTATTAAGAATGACACAAATGCTTCAGATTGATAAACAGAGTTTAAGCTTGTCATATGCTTTGAAAAAAATCTTTTTATTTTACCTCATTCTCCAGAGCCCTCAGCCTGTGGTCAAAGTCTCTGTTTTCAGCCATATGTTTAACCACACCATCCACTCTAAAAAAAAAAAAAAAAAAAAAAAAGAAGGGAAAAAAGGAGACACATCAGTATGATGAAGCCGTGAAAAAGTAATTTTACTGCTGCTGTGTTGGTGTAGTACGTTGTGCTCACTTGACAGACATCCGTTTGAGCCTCTCTGAGTCACTGTTTCTCTGGATCTTGGTCTGGGCAGTGAGGAAGTCCTCCTTCTGAATTGTTTCCCACGTCATTAACCTGTTAGTTTCCTTCTTTGACAACTGCAATACTAATAGGGAGGGCAGAGTTAAAAAAAAAAAAATCTGATTTATCATTCAACTCACGACAAGCAGGAACCAACCACAGCTCAGATGAAAACCAATGTGGAAGTAAACAATGATCCAATTCAGCTTCATCAACGCTGCCATTAGAGGAACGGAATGATAAAAGCCGACCAAAAGACACTTGAGACGTTTGTTGTTAATGTGCATTAGGCACTACCTTTATTACAGTGATTGGACTAAGTAGACTAACAAATACTGACCAAAGTGGTGGATCTTGAGAGAGGGCACCTTGCGGATGTTCCTCTTGATAATGAGATTGATGTGAGAGAGGATGATGAAAGGAGGAGCCAGGGAAGGACGGGAGTGGTACTGAACAATCAGGTTGTAGCGCTGGAACTTCCAGTAGATGTCACTGTTAGCCTGCACTACAGTGAAGGTATGGCTGTGTGGACACAAAGAAGGCAGAGTAAAGAGTGTTGTGGTAAACTGAGAATCATTTATAGAGACCAGCATTCCTGTGTAGCCATAGAGTGACTGCCTTATGGACATTAATCTCATGGATCTTTACCTAAACATGGCGATGAGCAGGTTGATGAGCAGGATGTTGGTGACCAGCAGATAAACAATCAGCAGAATTACCACCAGCCAGTTATTAGACAGAGATCTGCACGGCTCCGCACCGCCCTGAATTAGTGTCACATTGTCTGTGCACTCCATATCCCACTCTTTCCCAACTGAAATAAACACAAAAATATAGGGAACACGTCATATGTCCTGTAACATGATTAGTACAAAAGATTAAATACTCTTACTGGTTTGAAACTAGCTCTTATTGTCTAAATACACACAGATAATGTTACCATCCATCTCTTCCACAGGGATCTGTCCAAAGATGTGCAAGTATGGCCTGTAGAAAACCCGACGAAAGATGTGATCTAGACGAGGGTCGTAAGAGTAAAGTAAAGCTTGATTGGCTACTCCGTACGCCATGAGCCACACCATCAGGAAGAAGAGGAAGAAGAAGATATCCTTCATCTGAACAAGAGAAAGTAGTTGACTCTCTTGTCATTATAATCCCAACATCCTGCTAAATAAAATTGGTATATTGTCAACTGAGGGTAATGTTTCTCACCATCTTGCCAACAATGATGATTTTTGGTCCCAGCTGTTTGTGAATGGCGAAGATGTGAATGAGACGGAGGGTGAAGACCATATAGTCCACACACAGGACATCCCGGCCAAACCCATATGACGACTCGAACATCCTAAAACACAGTGTGAAGCGAAAGGTGTGTTTCAAGACGACTGTGGCTGACTTTCGCAGCCCTGATAGTAAAACGTGAGCTGCAGGCAACTGCAGGGGTGGGGTGTAAAAACACTATTCTACCTCCAGTAGAGTGTGGGAGCTTACTGTGAGATTAGAACAATGATTGATCTTGTGGCATTTGTCTTTGCAAAGGCAAAAGGTAAATGGTTCCAACTTTGTTCAGCCGGAGAAAAGCATCTGCAGCCACCTTGCTCCCGCAAGGTTTTAATGTCATGTAACACGTTGACGTTTTGCAACGCAGGCAAAAGTCGGACAAAACGTCTAACCAGCATGCCTTATGTTAAGTCCAGCATGCATCACGTTAAGTCAGCGCTGTAAAGCACCGCATGAAGTCAAACGCCCTTAACTATACTAAGCGGTAACAGCGTCGCCCAGTGGTCAACTTGTAAAATAACCGCACTTTAAAGGTCTTCAACAGGAATCTGGATCTTATTGAGGATGGAAGTGAGCGGCCTGTGCACACATTGAATTGCAGGACTCGGGACAGGGATATACACGAGATGATTTATGGAACAGTTAAAGACATTGCTGTAACATAATGGACAGTAGAAAACCCGGCGAAAGATGTGATCTAGACAAGGGTGGTAGGAGTAAAGCAAAGCCTGATCGGCTACCATGATGTTTTTGATGCGATTTCTGTCCAGTAAGTTTTCCTTTGAAAAAAACTGCAACGCATTCTCTGATAATTACTGTTAAAACTAATAGAAACTTAAAACTCAGTTGGAACTGTGTATGTTTTACCCTGTGACACAGGTGGCAACACACTACTCTGTTGTAAGGGCTTAAAAGCTAAAGCTATTGAGAACAAGGGCCTTAACACAACAAATGAAAATAAAAATGGAATTTCATTAAAACCTATTAAACATCAACACTGCGGAAGGTTTTGGCATAATCCAGTAGTGGTATATACTGTAGTTGTTCCTGTGTGTAACTGTTGTCTTGCTGTACCTGCAGATCAGTCCTATGATGAACAGCATGATGGCAACGAGGTCACACTTGTTCCACACATCCTGAATGTAAACTCTCATCGTCTGACGCCAAGTCACTATCCCCAGAAAGAACGTCTTGGAGAAAAAGAAATCAACTTAATAGATACACAAGTGAAGCAATAAACAGAACATCATCAGATATAGTTAAAAACTGAAAAGTACTTTCAGTGGTGATCTGTGCAGATCACATTTTATGTGACGTGTTTAGTCTTCAGTGTTTTGGTGTGTCGATACTGTTAATTAGGGCTCATCCAAGAGTTCTTCAGTTCTGACTGACTGGTAGGGAAACTCAGGTATTTAACCTCTGTGGGATTGTTAGCTAGGATCGTCAATACCGCTGGTTTGTTGGTGCTCCTGGCTGTGGTAACGACAGTCATCATGGTCGTTAGCACGACCCGTGGCCAAGTCTGAATGACTATCGTTGGTATCTTCACCTGAGGCCAAGTGGAAATGCTTGTTGAGTTTCCTGGGAAGTGATGAAAGGACAGCATTGTAAGTGGGGGATAAGTGGTGTAGACCCCCTCCTCTGTTCAGCGACGGCTTCTCAGCCCAGGTGTAGATGGCTTCCTTGACACCTCTTTCAAACCATCATCTCTGTCTTCTTTAACCTCATCCCCTGTAGTGTTGGTCTTCTTCCTGGATTTTGTGGCTGTTTTCACAAAGGTCCATTTAGGGTATCCACAGGCTGTAAGTGCCCCCTTCAGGTGGTTCTGTTCCTTCTCTCTGGCTTCTGCACTTGTTGGTATGTCATCTGCTCTGTGGTGCAGGGTTCTGATGACCCCTAGCTTCTGCTCCAGTGGGTGGTGGGTATCAAAAAGTAAGTATTGGTCCGTGTTTGTGGGTTTCCTGTAAACCCCAATTTGTAGGCTCCTGTCCTCTTCAATGTGTACAGCGCAGTCCAGGAACACCAAACTGTTGTTGTGGACATCTTCTCGTGTGAACTTGACGTTACTGTCCACAGAGTTGATGTGTTCTGTGAAAGCTTGAACTTCCTGGGTTTTTATTTTGACCCAAGTTTCGTCCACCTACTTGTACCAGTGCCTCGGTGCTGTTCCTCTGAAGGAGTTGAGAGCTTTGCTCTCCACTTATTCCATGTAGATGTTTGCCACAATCAGGGATACCGGTGAACCCATGTCGCAGCCATGCTTCTGTCTGTAGAATCCTCCGTTGTACTGGAAATAGGTGGTGTTTAGACAGAGGTCGAGTAATTTGCAGATCTGGTCAGGGCTGAGGCGAGTTCTGTTGTCCATGGTGTTTGTCTTGTAGTAGCCTTTTCCTTACGGATTCTACTGCCTCCATGGTGGGGATGCAGGTGAACAAAGAGGTCACATCATAGGACACCATTGTTTCATCTGTGTCCAGTTTCAGTCCTCGAACTTTGTTTACAATGTCAATGGAGTTTTGGATGTGGTGGGGCGTGTTACCAACCAAAGGGGCTAAGGTGGTAGAAATGTGTTTGGCAATGTTGTAGGTGACCGAGTTGATGCTGCTGATAATCGGCCTAAGTGGGGCTCCTTTTTTGTGTGTTTTGGGTAGTCCATTTATGCAAGAAATATACAAATGGTAATACTGTTCCGGGGGGTGATGGAGTTTTCTTTCTGAAGTTGTCTTTCTAACGACCACGATGACTGTCGTTACCACAGCCAGGAGCACCAACGGACCAGCGGTATCGACGATCCTAGCTAACAATCCCACAGAGGTTAAATAGCATGAGTTTCCCTACTTGGATGAGGGTCGAAACGTCTTCTAGTTTTTCTTCTACAGAGTCCAGTTGCCCTTGACCTCAACCTTCGTTGGATAACTATGACCTGGATGACTGAGAACCTTCACAGACAGTCATGCAGTTGCAAATTCATTCCGTTGTCATCCTTGTGTGACAGATCAGCTCGCCAATCACAAGCGCCATGCGCCTCCTGTTACGGTCCTACTCACCAATCAGAACGGGCACAGGGCGTGTACTTTTTACAACAACAGTTTTTAAGTTTGTATCTGCTTTTGCAGTGGCTAAATGTGAAGTACTGCAGATGTAATAAGTATAAATTTGATATAAGTAAAATGTCTCTCCGCACTCACCTCCCGGATCTCCTCACACACAATGGTGAACACCCAGAAGTAAAGCACATACTCAGTGTTGGATGGACCAGAGGGAGGCGGGGGCTTGAAGTCCACCATCAGCACGTATGCAAACAGCAGGAGGAAGAGGAAGTACATCAGGACGTTGCCCAAAAAAGAGGTGACAGGTGCAAACCAGAACTGACGCCATCTTGAAACTATGAACGGACGCTTTGGTGGTGTGTGAGAGTGAGGTATGCCTGTAAGGGGAGGTTATTGGAAATGGGTTAGTAGCTGGTTATAGTCGTAACGGCTGCTAAAAATGATTGTTTTTGCAATCAGTCTTTCCTCTCCTCCGTTGTGAGTGACATCACTTTTCCAGGGGGGCTACATTTAAAGAGGACTCACCTTTGATGGCTGCTGTCCTGGGACTGGTTGATCCTTGTGCATCAGCTTCACTGGTACAACAATGACACATTTTTAGTGAACCAAAATACTAAAAAGAAACGTTCATTCTACACTAAATCCATCCATCCATCCTATTCACTTGCATTAACGTTATTAAAAACATATTGTAGGAATCTTGCAACATGCTCTTTAGAATTTTTTTTGTTTTACATGTTCTTGATGTCCGAGAAAGAGAAGATTGTGGTGCCGTAGAGGCTGTCGCTGTCCCTGCCCTGTCCGTCCTCATTGGGCTCCCCCCCCCCCTCCTCTTGCTGATGGTCCTCCTGTTTCCTGTGAGGCAGAGTAAGCTGTATCAGTGGTATCAGTCCGGAAATCTGAATCATCTGAATTTTAATGACATGGAAATAATAATAATGTGGATTTTACCTGAAGGTGATGAGGTTGGTGTAGCAGAGGAAGGGACAGAAGAAGGTGAGTAGGAGCTTCCACACCTCTGTGTTCCTTTTCATGTCACCCCACCAGATCTGGGACAACAGAGTCTGGAGGAGAAGATACCCATTCTCACCAACTGCGAGTCATTTGTTCAATATGAAAAAAGGCTTGTGTTGTAAGTGTAGTATTGTATCATTAATAATTTAATATGCCCATGTGCTGATATTTGCAATTGGCGATTTAAGCGACACATTACAAGTTAAGCATTCGCAGAGCATGTATTTCAATATAAAGGAAGCATATTGGGGATAAATAAAAGGAATTAAGCTTCAGCCTGACAATCCAGGTAAGCAAGATACAGCAAAAATATAGTTTTAAATATTTAAAAAGGCGTGAGCATAAATAGAACTGGTTTAACTGCCAGAATGAAGTCATTGACTTGACTATTGTTCTAAGTCAGTCACACAGGTGTGAAAACAGTGACACACCTGTACTCCATCATGGCTGAAGAAAAGGCGTGCGTCGGCGCCCATGCCCATCTGGAGGCAGGTGGTCCCAGCCCAAACTTGAGATTGTGTAATCAGCAGGGTGAAAGAGCGACTCTCATTGCTCCGATAGCAAGAGCCGAAGACATCTGAGAAGACAGAAAGACAAGAGAGTTTAGTGGAATAGTTACCATTTAGAGAACCATGAAAGTGACTGTTAAAAGAAAATACACTTGCATCAAAGTAAAGTTTATTCTGCAAATCAAATATTCATCATAGAAAGGCCATGTATGCAATGCTTGCAACATGAAGACTTTCACAAAAAGCAAGTTTGTCCCATAATTTACTAACAAGGAGTGGCCAAATAACACTGAGTACAACAATTACGTTTGAAAAAATCTTATGTCATCATAATTTCTGATCATTTTTTAAAATTATTTCTTGTTTGACTGAACGTTGGTAGATGATGTATTCATGGTCTCACCATGTGCCAGGTTCTCAAACCTCTGAGCCAGCTCTTTCATGGACAGTTTAGTCTCAGTTTCATCCTCCAGCTTGGAAAGTTCCCTCAGTATCTTACAGCCACTCAGAGCACTCAGCACTGACTCCACTGACTGGGAGAGACAGGAAGAGAAGTCAGTGCTTACAAACTTCTTTGTATCAGGTACAGTACAGTATTTTCCAATGAAGCTGATGGTCATAAAATTCGTTCACTATGTCAGTCAGTTGGTTTAAAAAAAACAAATATATGTTACAACAGTTACGAGCCTGATTGTGGCAAGAGTGTAGCGGAGGGTCGTGTGCTTATTTCAAAGAAACAGAACAGCAGCAGAACAAATTTTTGACTTCTGTAAGACGCAAGACTTGTACCATCTCCCAGAAGTAAATGGCCATTTCGCTGCGGTTCTGGAGGACAGCCCAGATGAAGAGTGAAGCCCAGGGGTAGGGGCAGCGCTCTGCCCTATACATGCAGTCACTGCGCAGCAGCTTGCTGGCACGCTGGGATGGATGAAAAGAAGCAGGGGGTCAGATTGAAAGCAGATGCCACAGGTGGCATGCCTCTTGTCTTCTAAAATCAGTAGTTCATTAGATTTTATATACTGTATATCTTCATATAGGAAAAGTTATAGGAAGTAGTACCCTAAGAGCTCTCCTTTTGGATGACGTCTGTTCTAAACCCAAAGCATCATAGTAAAATGACTGGCAGACGTCTCCCATCAACAGGTCCAGGACACCTGCAACCTGAGGGAAAAAGGGGTAAGCGTAACAAACAATCAAAACTGTTTGTGTAAACACAAGTTTCCTTCACATTCTTTGTGATTCTGCTGGAGCAAAACTAGACCAGAGGAATGGATGTTTCTCTCATCAGAAAAAAAACACACCTCAAAAAGGCTGATATCCGCCACTGGGCTGCTCTTCCCTGCTGCCACATTTGAAGAGTCCTGCAGGTTTGTAAATGTGGGAACAGGGGGTGAAGTTCCTAGCCGTTCCACCAGACGGCACTGAAGTAGTTGGTAAAGCACCGTCCCGTCAGCCACAGAACGAAAGAGGTTTTCCAGCCTGCCATAAGTCAGGTACTCCATGATGTTGAGCCCATTCTCAGTGAAAAGACGCACAAACTGAGGCTTGTTGTTGATCAGGGCATCTGTCATGGAGTCTTCCAAGTCTTCATACTATTTGATTGGATGTAGGTGATTGTTTATTAGGCAGATTTTAATACAAGGCAATGCATCTACTTTAGAGTGGAAGTATTTCCCTGAATGTAACATCTCACCCTCCATTGGATGTCTCCGTTAAAGAGTTCACTCTTAGCAATGTCAACCCTGTTCCATGTGACTGCTAGCTTCAGCTCTTCACTGTAGGGGCTGGCATCAGCTGACGTGCGCTGCTTACTAGCTGAAAAACACAGAATCACACCCCAAACATGAAAACAAAGACCTAAAATGACAGAAGTTTCCACAGATTGATTTGGCTGCATGTACCTTGCACCAACGTTTTGAGCAGGACTGTATCAAAGTCGTTTGGGCCCTCCTGCTCTCCATGGTAGAATGTAATAAAGTCTCTGTTCTGGTAGATGCTCAAAGCCTGGAGACCCAGAACAAGGAGACAGAAGGCAAGAAAAACAGGAACTTTTAATATATGAGCACAATATGTTCTTGACACTGAGAAAGAGAATAAAAATCAGACAAAAAGTGATGAAGAAATATTTATTGTCAAAAAGATATTGTTCAAATGCAGAGAGAAGAAAATGTGTGGCAATTAAAGACTTCATGAGGCCATATGAAGTTAAGCACCACCAGTAATAATAGCAAGTAGAAGAGTGTGTATCCAATCAGTCCCTAGTTTAAAGCATAGCAAAACTTTTTGGGGCACTGACTAAAAAATCAATATTGATAAATCAGTTAATACCCTGTCACACTCCATTGATGATGTTACACCATACTTAGCAAATCAAACCCACACAAATAATTTTTAAAGCGGCAGCTGTGAGGAGAGGAAGTTCGGGGTGCAGAGAAGCAGACATGATATTCATGTCACTTCCATTCCAACTAGACAGCTAGTCGCAGCAGCAGAGCTTAAAATGGAAACTTGCCCTGAGGGTTATAGTAGAAGACTATGGGGTCAAGAGTTTAAAACCCCATTATATTATGAAATATCCTGTGTGAGTAAAATGGGAATTATGACTTCATAGCATTAAAAGAAATCTCAACAGGTCACCAAGAACATTTGAAAACCTCTGAGATTGTGAATATGAGTGTTAAACGTCACGACAATCTACACAGTAGCTGCTGATTATACAGCTTCCTCCTGTTTTGCATGTTAACAAACCAGACAATGATCACATGTGTCACGGCACTTACCCGCTCAACTAGTTTGTCTGACTCTGCTTCAGAAGGGAAGTGCTTCTTAAACCGTTCTGCCACTCGGTCTTTCAGGTCCACGCTGGGACCCACCTCGCCATCTACCTCATTGGAAGCCGGCGCTAATGACAGATTCTCCAAGACATCGCTCAAGAAGTCAGCCAAGCCCCCTGAGCCGGCCAGCACCAGCCAGGGCATGCAGGTTTTCAGAGAACGATCCACTCTCTGATAGATATTGGGAAAAGAGAGAGAGACATTTCTTTACTGAGTGCAAAGGCATAATAACAAAGCACATTATAATATTAAAAATTAGCCTAATCATTTCTTTTGGAGAAACATAAAAAAAACACTGACTGTACCTCCAGCATGCTTGCCTCCCCAGATACCAGCATACAAAGGACAGGGATGTCAATGCTGCCGCTGCCTACAAAAATACAAGCATTCTTACAAATACAAATTCCTACAGTGCATCGGTTAATGATTAGTTTACTCTGACGTCACTTAAATGCAGACATTATGATCATGTTTTCAGCAAACTGTATATAGTTCTTTTAACTCAAGAGCTCAAGAGGCACAGCCACAGAAAGAATACCCTGGTACATTTTTACAATAAATTCTTCTTCTTCTTCGACAAATCTCTGCTTGATTTTACATGTTGAAAAGCCGTGTCTCAAATTCATGCGCTGGCATGCAATGGCTTTCGTCCAAAAGATCATCTTACTGTGATGTGCATTAATAAAAGATCACCACCAGAGGGCCAAAAAGCTCGAAATGTGAAATGTTTCTGGTTGTAAGAGCATTGTTCTGTTTAGATGTTTATCTCCGCTTTCTTAACATTCTTAACATACATAAATATAATCTTGGAATATTAGTACAGGGAAACCGGTTTCTTCTGATTCTTCTATTCCATTCAACATATGATGCAAAACATTATATTTCATCATCCCATCTCTCACCCCAGATGCCTGTGCGCTGGTGGGAGATGTACTCCTCCACTTTGGCCCTGAACCTGGTCTCTCCTCCTCTGCGTCCCACAGTCCCGTCGTCCACCAGCAGGAAGGCCTGGTAGTTGTTGTCTAGGCAGCAGAAGTCTTTGGAAGTGTTCTCGATGGAGTACTTGGCAGGAAAGCTGCCCTGCAAGAGGAAGAATCCAGGCATCCAGTTAGCGGGGTATAATTGGCGTGCGTTTGGTGGATCCCAAGGTGCTGCTTATGTGTTTTAACAGGACATGATCCCAGTGCTAGAAGATGGCAATTCAATGTGGAACCCAGATTATAAACTTGAGGAATATATACTGTACATTTTTAAACATAGAATTTTTCATACATACATTTTCCTTAGCTTTTAAATTGGGACCCCTTTATTTGTTTTCCTATTTGGAATAATTTGCAACAAAAATGTATAAATAAAACCAAAATATTTAATATACAAGTCTTACAGTAAGATTGTTGCACAATATAAGTGAACAAGAATTTTTTTCCATACATGCATTTGTAAATACAGTATGCGAGTGCCTTTCCAACCTGAGGGTTTACCAGCTGCTGTCGGTTCTGCACCATCCCCCAGGGAGCAATGCCCAGTGCCACCACCTTGTTGAGGGAGACCGACGAAGCTGCAGTGGCATGATCCCTCACTGCCTCTCCAACACATCCGCCAACACCTTCACGCATGCCTGTTGTCACGATCCACGCTCCTGGGTAAAGAGCACAAACGTGTGAGAAGAAAAGAGACAAGAGGTAACTTTTTCAGACAAATAGAAATGAGTTTTTAAGCAAATCACAAAGCCATATGGGGGAAAGTAATAAATATTAAATGATAAAAATACATGTGAATGGAAAAATAAAGGGATTATAATGGATGTGAAATGAAAAATAGAGTGATAAATATTCAAGTGATTTGATTAATTTTAAGTCGATTTGATTAAAACAGTAGTGATAGAATGAAAACATAACCATTTTTATTTATCAATCATTCACAACGTAAAATTGGCATTCATCATTTAAAGTAGGTAGCCTCAAGGGTTAAAGTAACAAAAAGGTAAATAATAATATGGAGGTGATGAAAATGCCTGTGAATTGAAATACAGAGGGGTTCAATTTAAGGTGAATTGAAATCTAAAGTAATAAATTGTCAATTGATGTGATAAACTTGATTTACCATTCATCGTTCACAACACCTTACTTACATTCGTCATTCACTAACCACACCCCCTGACAAATTGATCGAGGTTTTGGCTCTCAACTCGCGGTTCTTTCATCACTTCCCAGGAAACTCAACAAACGTAACCTATTGACCTCAGGTGAGGATGCCAACAATGTTTGTTCAGTCTTGGCCTTGGGGAGTCCTAACAACCACAAAGACTGTCGTTACAACAGCCAGGAACACTAACGAACCAGCGGTATCGACGATCCTGGCAAACAACTCCACTGAGGTTAAATAGCTTAGTTATTATTAGCCGAGTGCTATCAGTGGCAGCGGCTAAAGGTGCCTGTCAATCAAAGCGAGAGATTGGAGATCAATGGAGATTGACTCCCTTCTGCAGCCAGCCTCAAGTGGCCACTCGATGAATTGCAGTTTCTGATGCTTACGTATTGGCTTCAGGTGGGAGACAGGAAGTTTGCCGCTTGATAAGGTACATAGACTGTATATAAAAATGGACATAGTATCCGTGACGTCACCTGTTGGTTTCTGAAGAGCAGTTTTGAAGCCCAAATTGGGCGGAGCTGGCCATCACCAACTTGGCCCCGCGTCACTGCGCGTCACTCCCGGATAACCATAAATGGGCAAAGAGGCGGGTCTTGGGTGGAGCTGAGGTGACGTGTTGCTGAAACCACTCCCGCCTAGCTCGACATGACCGAGTTAGCTCATGCTAAGGAGCTAATGCTATATGCTACTCTGCGTTAGCAGAGGTAGCTTCTAAACCCCAGTGCTGTACGGTGGAGGTTGGAACCTGCGGCCGTTTTGTTACCAGTTTACGGTAATTTCCAGCTTTCAGTCAAGGTAAGACACCAGAAAATATTAAATTAACTCACATATCTGTTATTGACATTATACTTCACAAGGTTTTAAATGCTTTTTAATATATTTATATATTAAAATTATATATAGATTTTGTTGAGACCAATTATATATAGATTTTGTTGAGACCAACGTTAACTGCTAACTATGAATCAGTTATTAATTATGTTAACGTTTACTTACAGTTTAAACAAACAATTTGAAGCAACTCAATTAACCCTTTTACATAACGGTAGTTACAGGTCGTTTATTTGGATGTCACCTCAGTTATGTTACTTGAAATAAACGTAATAAGCTAGTGGTAGAGTCCTTAGTTACATGATGGAAGCTGTATAACTTGGTTTATGGCTGTTATCACGTTAATTAATTCCCCACACTGCTATTTTGAATAATGTTGCTGCTGTTGGCAGGGCTGTGTGAGATTATTGTCTGGAATAGGACACTTCAGAGAGAAAGGTACTTTTTATATTGGCCACAAGATTCTTGTTGAGGATCTGATGCCTCCACGTCTGCTTTAACTGTAAGTAATGTTACTACAACAACTTGGCTAGAGTACATTTTACAGCTGATATAAATTTGTCTGTCTTAAGAGGACAACACAAAAACATTTAATAGTGCTATCAACATTAAAACGCTGAGGCATCTTTTAGAAGAGCATCCCAAAAAATTAGAATACTGTGGAAAAGTTCACTCTGAGCACCGGAACCAGAGAGATTACAGGCTTCAGAAACCTTTGCAGGTGTCTTGAGTTAATTAGCTGATTAGAGAGCTCTTCTCCAGTTGACATTTCTGTATAATTTATAATACAGAAATGTATTTTTATTCTAAAATGTTTATACATTTTGAGACACTGGAGTTTTTATTTCCATGAGCTATAAACCGTAATCAAGATGAAAACAAAAAATGGTTTGAAATGCTTCACTTTGTGTTATGAATCTAGAACACGTGTCAAACTTAAGGCCCGCGGGCCGAATGCGGCCCACCACGTCATTTTATGTGGCTCACAAAGCTTTAAAAATTCATGATTGTCCTGAAAAGACGTGAAAAACTGATGCAGAAGGAAGGCAATTTCATGAATGGTGGGAAAGTGAATACATGTTTGTGCTTCAAGGAGAAAACCCGGTAGGCTAGGCCTATGTTTATGTCTTATGGAGGTAGTGTCAGTGATGAAGGATCAACGTTGGTTAAGGCTCCTGCAGACTACATGACTGACTTTCAGCGTTGGCCGATGGCCGTGCTGTTCACACTACACAAATTGCTGTCTTGTGACGGGAGTTTTGAAGTTGTTGTGGCGTTCACACTACGTCACTGATCAGTGACAGGGACACACAGACAAACCAGCTGTTGTTTGTTATTATAAAGATAGCAATTATAAAGACAAAGATTTTGGGTAAAAGAATGGATTAGCACATGCAGGTAGCAAGGATTGTCTAAGCTACAGAGAGAGCTGGAGGGGAGTAAAATGTGTTTAGCGTGAAAAGTAGCTGCCTGCTCCCATTGTTTGGATGTGGATGTCGATTCAGCCGACTCTTCTAGATAGCCTATTTGGCATGCTAGATATCTGGCAGACGTCGGCGATGTGTCAGAAATGTGTCGGGGAGCCGTTTTGATGAGTCGTTGTGTAGTTGACATAACGACTAGCGGCCGCTGATCCACCGCTGAATTACTCCCGATCACAGCCCGAGGTCGCCGAGTGGAAAATCTTGTAGTGTGTGTCGTATCGAATATTTATGCATTTGACTAATAACAGTTCAAAATAGCACTGTAGCAGCAGGACAGAGGGTCAGTGACCTTCTACGGGGAGAGCAGTGATTGGTGGTTATGTAGGGACTGAACCCTTCTATAGAATTTGACCTCTAACCCCTTGTTTTGTTACCTCAGAATAGTACTGTACCCTTCTATGGGATTGACCTTTTATTTTGCAGACTCAAACCCCTCTATGGTACCTAACAGATACCTAAACATATCCTATATAAGCTATGTTTGATGAACAGAGAGACAGAGTCACTCTCCAAGCTGCTGCAGAGCTTGTAATTGATGCTGAACTCCTTGATGTAATAAACTTTTATGCTCAAGAACAGCATCAAGCGGGTTTCCTCTCAACATATCGCAGCATTATTGTTCGGACACCACATGTGCGTTTTTCCAGGTAATCAAACTATCTCTCATTAGTAGGATGTATGCCCTCTGCACGGCTGTGTGCAGATGGACTATTTGTTTTAACACATCTGTCCCTCATGTTATTAGCAGCTCAAAATTATTTGTTTTACCATGGTTCTGCACCTCTGGACTGTGAAAAAGTCCACAACTGTAACGACAGTCGTTACAGCAACCAGGAACACTAACAAACCAGCAGTATCGATGACCCTGGCAAACGACCCCACTGAGGTTAAATAGCTGAGTTTCCCTTAATTAATCAAATCACTTGAATATTTATCATTATTTTTCATTTCACATCCATTTTCATCACCTTTAATTAATTAATATTTGTTATTTCCAAAATTGTCAGTTTCATCTAGTTACACTGCATTTTTTTTTAGATGATACTTGATTTAGCATTCTTATCTAATAAATAAGTAGTTTAAAATAAAGTATAATAAAAGGTGTATACACAACCGCAGAAATGCACACAAGTCATGTACATATGTTGAACATATGTATGTACACGTACATGACTTAACATATGTTTAATGTATAACCACAGATATTTGCACTTTTGCAGTACAAAAGCACCACAGCTGTTCTCACACCTTTCCCAACAACCATGTTTGTATTGAGCAGTAGCAAACCTGTGTCTATGCGTGCACCTTGTATGTCTGTACGTCCGAGTGTTTTTGTCCTATCTTTGTTTTGACCTTGGGCCTCCGAGACAGCCAACAGCAAGTTAGAGTGACCTCAGATGAGAGATCAGTATCGCCATGTGCCACCTGCTCTTGGCACGGTAGCCAGGAGGAAATGGCCATTGTATTACCAAATTAGGATCGGACCCCAGGGAGTAATAAAGTGTAATCGTGCTACATTTTGTAACAGCTATATTTTTCTTACGAAAACCACAATAAGCAGGTTCTGTGTCTTTCAAGATAGTGTTATCCATTATTTTACATTGTGAGTTAGTTACTAGAATGTTTATGAATTTTAGAGGGATCTGACTTCATCTATTATTGACTTCATTCTCTTGTCTTGCCCTCAAGCTCAAATCATACAAGAGGTAGGAAAACTTCTACAATCAACTTAAGGAAGAAAAGAGAAGTAATCTACCTGATGTGACTTACTCAGTTAGTAATACTGCTGTAAAGGTAGGTTAAATTAGGTAAAAATACCAGTTCGTAGCATTTGTCAGCTGTCTGGAAATCAGCATTTGATATGTGTGAAAAGTGGGAAAAAATAAAATAAAATAAAAAAAATCAATGTAAAGTCAACTAACATAGCTTTAAAAAGTCCAAAGCATCTGTGCCCAATTTCAGGGTCTATCAAGTTCAATTCAAGACTTTTTAGGACCTTTTATGATAAGTAAAAATAATGGAAAACCGGTAGGGACTATATGGCCTAGAATTATTTATTATTATATCACATTTTCCAGTACTTGTCAGCAGTATATAGTAATCATTCCTAGTGATATAATCAATTATATAAATGTGACCTGGATAAACATCAGAATATAGGTGGATGAATTAACCAGTGAAATTAATTTAAGTTCATTAAATGTTACTAAAACTGACATGAGTTTCCTAGCTACTATAGATAGGAGTATTGACAGTGCATGCTATACTTTAGATCTGATGGTGAGGAACCCACCTCCTATGACCACAATCCACTGTCACAAGAACCCTTAGTTTAGTTTATGGGTGTAGAACATCTCAGGGCATACTTAAAATAGTTTGCTTTTATCATATGTTTACCTGTGCTTTGTGAGGCTTTCACCAGTCCCTGCCTGAGGACCTCCCGTACCCAAGTTTTCACCTTTGTCCTGTCTTCTCCGCCCACTACAGAAACCACCAGGTTGGGTGCAGGAAGTCCCCAGTTGCCCGTCATCAGGTTGTAGACCGCAGACGGAGGTGTGTCCCATGACAGACGCAGGAACTGAGATCCACATAAGAGACAAAAAGGGATATTTTACTAATTAGAAGAACCAATCACATTTCAGAAGTTGACAACCTTTGACTTAAATGTGGGCTATGCAATTCTGGTGAAAGCTTGTTGTCATCTGAACTCAACAGCCAAACAAATACACCCCTCCCCTCAGTGTTCCTTCCAAAGCTAATCAAATTTAAAAAAAATTGCGCAAAATTGCAATACAAGGTGCTGAACAATACAATGAAATATAAGAATACAATGAAAATACAATAATACAGTGTAGCATTGTGAGCATTGCAGTTATCAAGCCTGCTAGCGATAAAAGCAGGCATAAGTCTCTCAGTATCTGCTTGGGAAAACAGTTGCACTATAGCAATATTTCAAAGGTTAATGATGTGAGATTCCAGTCAAGTCAAATCAGGGTCTAGAAGCATGACATGATTTTTTGCGAGGGGCTTGGAGATCTGTGCCCGGGATTTTATGTAGTATCTCCTTCTGAACGGTTGCTCCGATGATTCAAATCTCAGTCTTAACTATGTTCAGTAGCAAGAAATTATGTGATATCCACTATATGATATGATCAATGCATTGAACCAGTTTATCAATATGGTTTATGCCATTGGGTTATAAAGACATGTACAGTTGTGTGTCATTGGCATAGCTATGAAAACGAATCCTGTGTTCTCTGGTGATATTTCCCAATGGCAGCATATAGCCTAGAGACTGAACAATACACCTCTGTAGTCTGTTAACGAGGATGTCCTAAACGAGTGTATTAAAATCAGCGCTTAAGTATAGAAGTAATATTTAGGCCTTTTTGCCATCCAGTCATTTAGAACGTCTTTAAAAATGTCAATGGACTTGCAGCTTAGTTTTTCTCCATTGATGCTCCACTTTTTAACAGTTTAATTTAATCTTCTTGTGTTTGGCTGGTGCTATAGCATCAATGCAAGTCTTCAGCTTATTTAAATTGTTGAATAAATCCTCACAAGAGGGAGGGATCTGTGGGGGTATGTTATTAATATGATTAATGAAATTTCAACTTCAGAGGTAAGGTAACATTTCTTAACAGATTGCCAAGTCACTTACAGAGGACACATCCATCCTTAGACCATGAGGGGATAACTAGATCGAAAGTATGTACATGTAAAATGGCCTAAAACTATAATGTAAAGACGTGTATAATTGGTACTTACAATTAACAACATTTCAGTCTAAAAAGATAGGAAACTGTTTCGGGGTGGGCTATATAGCAAGCACAAGGAGTGGGGATTTTAACAGTATAGCCTGATGTTCAAAGGAGTTAAAATCACAAATTTCTACAGTTCTACAGTTTAGGGCATCAGCAAAGGCAGTCCCACCATCTTTTTTACCAGGTCGGTCGTTATGTAAACAGATTTCTGTTAGAAACATGCAGTCAAGGTTATGTTCAGATATAAGTTTGTTAATAAGAAAAGTCTTATTGCTAAGTGATCAGACACTGAGAAGTTTGAAAGCCTCTGCGATGTTAACACGGCTCTTCACCTTTGCTTGGTCACAGAACTCTCTCCCCCCCCCCCCCCTCCCAATTTGACAAAGTGTTTTGGATGAGCTTTGTCAAGAATCGCATATCCCATGTTTAATAAATTAAAGAACTGTGATCATTTAAGAAATCAAAATCCTTGCTAAATTATACTACAAATGTCTCAGATCAGTCATAATAAGCAAATGAGCTTCTCAGTACACATTATGTGACCTTACTGTCAGTGTATTGTGTTTGTTAAAAGGATAGGTAAAGCAAAAGTACTGACTAATACAGCTATTCAAATCATTATTTGGCTTACATTTAGAGTACCAAAACACAACTTATTTAATCATAAATGCTAATGCTATAGAAACAAAGCATTTAATGGGAGAACATTAGAACAAACAGCAGAGCAGAAAGGATACCCACATAGCTATGCCTCCTGCTGACCCCTACAAACTGCAGTTCTCCAAAGGCATCAGTTGGGTATTCAGAGGAGTGCTGGGCGCTGTCCCAGTGGTTGACCATCGCAGTGCTGAAATAGTCACCGAGAGCCACAGAGGCATGGGCATCTCTTGCACCCCCACACTGACACTGCACGCCATTACTGAGAAAGGTGAGAAGATAATATTTATGAAAACATAATCAACGTTTGCAGCATCATCACAGTCAACATAGAGAGATTACTACCACAGAGGAATGTGCTCCACAGTACCTTAAAGAATCTTCTACAAAGGTGGTGCACACTCTTTTCTTGATGATTTTGGGGATCCAACTCTGAAAGCAATTTCAAAAGGTTAGCCTGATAAACTAAAATTATAATTTATACAGGTTGTTTAAATTTTTATGAAGTTTATTCTGACCCTAGGCTTGTATGCCAGGTAAATCGGTTTTGTAGTTTCAGCTCGAGTCTATAAGTGTTTATGTGTGAAAGACAGTGTTTGTGTGCCCATATATGCAGTGGGAGACTGTATGAAACATGGAGTGTCCAAGACGTCACCTGTAGCTTTCTGATGAGCCCTTGTGAACAGACGGGCCCTTTGGGTGACCTGAATGAAGCCTAGTTGCTGAACCACCTTGCAGCTAGCCTCCTGAGAGACCATCTGTCACTCAAAGCGGCCATGCCCTTAATTAAGCATAACTTTAAACTTTAACATAATTTAAATGGATAAGCAAAAATACACCCTCCGCACAATTGTCATAAAGGGGGAAATTAGCTATAGAGACAAAAACGTTAACACTTCTAAATTAGGCCTTGTAGATCTAGTGAAGAGAAGCGCTTATTTCTTGTCTCAAATATGTTCAGAAACAGATTTTGGTGGACTGCTAAGGTGAAATGAGTAAGTAAGTTTATGAAGCCTACTTCATACAATGAAACGGGACCCACTACTAATGCTCAAACCCCATTTCCTCACAGAACTAGAGGCATGAGGAGGCCTGCAGTTGGACCCTTGGTGTTGCCACTTGGTGTAACCTATGGGTGTAACGGCCTACATAATGGCCCCGTTGCACTTAGTGTTATTGTAAGTGTTGTTGCATAAATACTTGTGTTTTCATGATGCACAGTTCATATTGCTGTTATAATTTCATGTAACAAATATAACTTAATTTGGTGTAAAGATAAAATGTAATACATGTTTAAGAACTAAAGGGTAGAATAAGCTGCTAAATGATATGTGGTTAACAGTGTATCTATCTCATTCTGTATATTTACGTTTGTCCCGGAACTAATGTTTTCTGTCTGTGTTACCGCTACAACGGTTTAAGTCGACACTCACTGCCTTGAATTCCGGCGGAGCAGATAGCTCCGATGCTTGTTAAACTGCATTAAAGTTAAAAATGTGGTTTGAAGTTAATGCAGACGACCAAATGGACATTCAAGAGACTTCAAAGAACTTAGTAACCTCTTTTCACGACAAGCGGCCAACGAGGTATTATTATATTGTCTTTATTGATCTGGATGTTGTTTGTATTTTCTCTGCTAAGCTATAATGTATTGATTTATTTGTACTGTGTTCACTTACAATGTAGTTCTCACGGCGTATAAGGCATATACGACGTTCAAGGCGTACATGGTGTGAGGCTGGATGTACCAAAGAGACCCGATGTGCCCACAGCAATAAACGCCCGTTGCAAAGAACTGACCTGTGTCTGTGTTGTCGCGAAGAGAGCTACAGTGAGAACTCGACCTGCTCGGCGCGGGTATGAGAGAAGACGAGATTACGGCGGGTAACGACGTGATGAAGATCCAGCATGTAAGATAAGCAAAGCCCAGGACACACTGTCGACATAGCTACCACAAGCAAATGTTATAAGACTTTGTTAAAAGGTGCGACTTTCCGTATAAAGGCCAGAAAGAGCTCTACCAAAGCCATCTTAAGTCAAGTGGTGTGAGAAGTGGTTTAACTTGGAAATTGCAGTTAAGGATTTAAGTCTATTACCCTTGCATACTGTTTAGCCTGTGTTTAAGAAAATATCTAATGTGCTGGTATTCATGATTGTTACATGCAACAAATCTAAAAGGAAGAAAGTTCAAGCCCCTTAAGCAAATTAACACGTTTCAGTAAGGTTAAAGGAAAGTACATTGTAATTTATTTTCTTTATTTATACTTTGAAAGGTAACAGAAGTTAAAGTATAACTTAAGCTAAGTTTAAAGAGTAATTTCATTGATGTTTTTTCAATTTCAAGTGTAAAAACAAGTGTTTTGATGCCTTTTGAGCATATTTAATTCACAATTAAGGTTTATGTTAATTAAGGTTTGTGTTTTGCCAAACTAATTCCTAGTTTAAGCTAACTTGAAGTCTAAACAAGTTTAAATACTGACACAGTTTGTGGTACAACATTTACGTATTCAGAGTTAGACTTCGCTCACTGTCTTCACACATCTGTTAAGATTCAAATAATTACTAAAATTTCCTAGTTAATCACACTTAGCCTACTGTAGCTTACACACAGCCCAAAATGTCAAACTCAAGTCCTGAGACCTGTCATGAGAATAGAAAATCATCTGCTCAAGCCGAAACTATAGACATTGGAGCTACAGAAGATGTAGAAAGGCTACGAAGAAGCGAAAGAACCCGAACCCTAACAGAAAAGGGAAAAGAATTCGAAGAAGAAAAGCTAAAGAGCATACAACGTCGGTATAGAATACTCTATGAGAAGTGGAGGTATCACGCAAGAACAAGCAAAGAAATACTGAATGATGAGGCCTCCGAAGACGAATTGTATGAGCTAATTGAGAACATGAAAGCTACGTGTTCTGATGTAAAGATGGTTTACGAAGAATTAGTAGAGTCCAAGCTCCTGAAGCAGAACTGCGACGTAGAGTAGACACATGTATATCGCTGTCAGGATTTATCATTCAAAAGGCAGAAAGGCATCTTAAAGGCATCACAACAGAAGATCCCTGGCCTGATGTTGGATCGATCCTGAACTCTACATGTTCTCCATCAAGACCACTGTCACATCAATCACAATGTGGTTCTGTCAACTCTAGCTTCCACTCGCTTAAAAAACATGAGGCTGCTGCCGAAGCTGCTGCATCGCAGGAGGTTTTAGCGGTGTTGGATGAACAAGAAAAGGAAATGACAGAACTTCAAAGGTTAGAGGTTGAAGATAAGCAACGACTGGCACAGTTTGAGTCTGAGAACCTTGCTAGACAGCAAGCGATGCAAGAGCAGCGTAGAAAACTCGAACGTCTTGAAGAAGTGAAGAAACTGAATGCCGCAAGAGCTCGAGTAAAGGTCTACGACCAAATCGAAGAAAACTTCAAAGCGATTGACTTGCCTCATACTGTTGCATTAGCAGGAGAACCTCAAACACTCTATGCTTCAAGTCCCCCATTCATTCCTCCATCTCTACCAGTCGCATCACAAATTCTCAATGCCTCAAGTCCCCCATTCAGTCCTCCATCCCTACCAGTCGCATCACAAACTCTTCTTGCCTCAAACACCCCGTTCATTCCTCAATCTCTTCCAGCTACAATGCAAGCCCTTCATAGTCCACAAAGCCTTCAACTGGTATCTCAAGCCCCATCAACTTTAGTGCCCATACCTCAAGTGCAGAACAGCTCTGATTTGGTCAACGTTCTAGCAGAAGCTATAAGTGCTAATCGTCTTCCAACTCCAGAGCCCTCATTATTCACTGGAGATCCTTTGAAATTCAAAGATTGGCAATTATCCTTTGAAGCGCTAATCAATAGGAAAAACATTCCAAAGAACGAAAAACTGTACTACCTTAGAAAGTACCTTGGTGGCGCTGCAAAGAAAGCTGTAGAAGGATTTGTCCTACTAGGAACGGAATCAGCATACGACTCAGCCTGGCAGCTGCTGGAAAAGCGTTTCGGAGACCCTTTCGTGATTGGGAAGTCCTTCAGAAACAAGCTGCACGCATGGCCAAAAATAAGCTCTAAGGATGGGTTTGAACTAAGAGAATTTGCAGACTTTCTTAGGAGCTGTGAAACAGCAATGCCCTACATTAGAACATTGGAAGTTCTGAACGACTGCAATGAGAGTCAAAAAATCCTACTGAAATTGCCTGACTGGTTGGTATCCAGATGGAATCGCAAGGCAATGGAAGTCAGACAAACAAGAGCTGAGTATCCACCGTTCAAAGAGTTCGTAGAATTTCTGTCGAAGGAAGCAGATCTTGCTTGTGATCCCATATCTTCGGTACAGGCGCTGAAGAATGTGGAAAGTGAGAAACCAAGGTACCCACGAAACCAACCCATACAAGCTAAAACACTGTCTACAAACACAACAGAGAGCAGCATTCCATCGTGTGGTTTCTGCAAAAGAACAGGGCATGTTCTCGCCAAGTGTAGAAGGTTCCTTGAAAAGACAGTTCAAGAGCGCGTCAAGTTTGTACAGGTGGAGAAGCTTTGCTTTGGATGTCTAAAGGCTGGTCATCATTCGAGAAGATGTGATAACAAGAACACATGCGAAAGGTGCCAGAGGAGACATCCAACATGTTTGCACGATGACAAGGTCAGTGAACGTCAAAGGTCATCACCTCTAAAGGGAGAAGAACACTTAAAGTACAAGGCAAACATCAAAGAGATGACTGCAACTGCAACCACAAACAGAGTCGTACAAGACGGCGTAAGCACACAAACCTCTTCAATTGTTCCTGTCTGGATCTCATCCACAAAACGACCAGATCAAGAAGTTCTTGTCTATGCGCTCCTAGACACACAGAGCGACACAACCTTTATTCTAGATGAAGTGGCCCAGGAGCTCAACACAAACAAAGAAAATGTCAGTTTGCGACTATCCACAATGTCTACAAGGTCGACAGTCATACCCTGTCAAAAGCTAACAAACCTGCAAGTGAGAGGATACAACTTAGAGAAAAGGATTCCATTACCATCACTTTTCACACGAGAGTTTATCCCAGCCGACAGATCGCACATTCCAACCTCTGAAACAGCACTAAAATGGCCTCATCTGGAACAATTAGCAGACAAGATTCCACCACCATTGGACTGCGAAGTAGGCCTATTGATTGGTTATAACTGTCAGCAAGCTCTTCTACCAAGGGAAATCCTGGCGGGCAAAGAGAACCATCCATACGCGCAGAGAACTGATCTCGGCTGGAGCATAGTCGGCTGCTCAAATCTAGAAAGTGACTGCAGTGATGCAATAGGAACCAGTCATAGAATCATAGTGCGACAGGTGACGCCTGCAGTGCATCAATCAGTTGAGTTAAAGAGAGAAGTACACTTTGCCTGCAGAACTCAGGTCAAAGAGATTAGTCCAACAGACATCATCAAGGTTCTCGAATTCGATTTCGCAGATCACACTACGGATGACAACCTCGTTTCTCAGGAAGACCTTCTTTTCTTGTCCAAGGTAGAGAAGGGTATAAAGCACAAGGAAGATGGCCACTACGAACTACCACTTCCTTTCAAGACGGACAAACCTAATCTCCCAGACAATAAGCAATGTGCTGTTCGAAGGCTCGCCTCTTTAGAGCGAAAGTTGAGAAAAAATGAGCAGTATAACAAGGATTATGTCCGTTTCATGAATGACATAATAACTCTAGGAGATGCTGAGAAGGTCCCATGGAATGAACTCGATAATCAATCAGTGTGGTACATTCCGCACCATGGAGTCTATCACCCCCACAAACCTGGGAAGATCCGTGTCGTTTTCGACTGTTCAGCACGTTTCCAAGAAACCTCTCTAAATGATCATCTTCTGACCGGGCCAGATCTGACCAACACATTAGTCGGAGTACTATTTCGATTTAGAAAGGGTCCAATAGCCATTATGTGCGACATTGAAAGAATGTTTCATCAATTTCATGTCGCAAAGGAACACCAAGACTACTTAAGATTCCTCTGGTGGGACAAAGGCGATCTGGACTCGAAACCCTCAGTGTACAGAATGAAAGTGCACTTGTTTGGAGCAGCATCGTCCCCTGGCTGCTCCAACTTTGGACTCAAACATCTGGCATCTCAGGGTCATGGAATGTTCAGCGAGGAGTCCATCAAGTTCATCCAAAGAAGCTTCTATGTTGACGATGGCTTAATAAGCGTAAAAACAATCGATGAAGCCATTCATCTGGTGGAAGAGTCTAGAGCCTTGTGCAGAACAGGAAATCTTCGGCTGCACAAGTTTGTGTCCAATGAAAAGGAAGTAACCGCCGCAATACCACCAGAAGAACGTGCACAGACCAAAGATCAAGATATGGCCTTAGGAGAATTTCACATCGAGCGAGCACTTGGAGTTCAGTGGTGCATCGAAACTGATGAATTCAAATTCAGAGTCGTGGTTAAAGAGAGCCCACTGACAAGAAGAGGAGTTCTCTCTACAGTCGCCTCTGTCTACGATCCGTTAGGGTTTGTAGCCCCCTTTATATTAGTCGGCAAACAGATCCTGCAAGAGCTATGTAGAGAAAAGGTAGGCTGGGATGAAGATCTTCCCGAACACATTCTGCCAAGATGGGAGTTATGGCTTAAGGATTTGCCACACCTGGCAGCACTGAATGTTCCAAGAAGTTACCTTCCATCACATTTTGACTCAGTCATGCGTTATGAGTTACACAACTTTTCAGATGCAAGTCTCAATGGATACGGTGCATGTTCTTATCTCCGAGCAATAAGTGAAACAGGACAGATCAGTTGTTCACTTGTCATGGGGAAGGCAAGAGTAGCCCCTACCAAGCTAACGACCATCCCGAGACTTGAATTGTCATCAGCTGTGACTTCAGTGCGCAACGGCGATGTTGTAAAAAGGGAGCTTGAGATTGAGAACTTAGAAGAGTATTACTGGACTGATTCGAAGGTGGTTCTTGGCTATGTGAACAATGATGCAAAGAGGTTCCACACATTCGTAGCCAATCGGATCCAACGTATAAGAGCTAGCACGAATCCTGAACAATGGCGACATGTCAGCTCTGGAAATAATCCAGCCGACCATGCCTCAAGAGGACTGACTTCGGTTCAGTTGAAGGAGTCGAACTGGCTGAAAGGACCTGACTTTCTTTGGCAGCAGAATCTTCCATGTAAAGAGGAAATGGTGGGAGAAGTTGAAATGACCGATCCTGAGCTTCGCAAAGCCCATGTTCATGCAGTCAAGATGAAAGAGGTGAATTCACTGGTGAAGCGCTTTACAAAGTTTTCGGACTGGTCCAGAGCAGTGAGAGCGGCTGCTAGGCTAAAGAGATTCATCAGAGAATTCAAAGGACATCAGCCAAGAACAAAGGAAGCAACTAGCCTTGAAGAAAGAAGAGAAGCCGAAATCTTTATTATCAAGCTGGTGCAAGAAGAAGCTTTTGCTGAAGACATTCAGAAAATCAAGCTCCAGAAAGAAAACACCCTGAACAAGCGTAACAAGTTACGCCAGCTGAATGCCTTCTTGGATAAGGACAATGTTCTCAGAGTGGGAGGACGATTATCTCGATCAGCCTTACACCATGACGTAAAACATCCGGCAATACTTCCGAAGAAATCTCATGTGTCAGCCCTTCTAGTCAAACACTATCACGAGCGTGTACATCACCAAGGAAGAGGCATGACCATGAACGAGCTGCGCGCAAATGGAATATGGATTCTTGGTTGCGGAAGTGCTGTCTCCTCACACATTTATAAATGCGTAACTTGCAGGAGATACAGAAGAGCCACAGAAGTCCAAAAAATGGCAGATCTCCCGGAAGAGAGAACAGAAATGTCCCCTCCTTTTACCTATTGCGGACTCGATTGCTTTGGCCCCTTCATCGTAAAGGAAGGAAGGAAAGAGTTGAAACGCTATGGATTGTTGTTTACTTGCTTATGCTCCAGAGCAGTACATATAGAAACACTAGACGACTTAACAACAGACGCTTTCATGAACGCGCTTCGAACATTTGTAGCTATTAGAGGACCTGTGCGTCAATTGAGATGCGATCAGGGAACAAATTTCATGGGTGCCAGGAGACTGTTTTCTGAATTGCTTAAAGGAATTGACCAAGAACGTCAACGAGCATTCGGTTGCGAATTTGTAACGAACGTCCCATCAGCAAGTCATATGGGTGGAGTTTGGGAGCGTCAAATTCGAACTATCCGAAGCATCTTAACCGTTATGCTCGACAAATCCGCAAGCAGACTTGACACCACATCGCTGAGAACGTTTCTCTACGAAACAATGGCTATAATCAACAGCAGACCGTTAAGTGTTGAACATCTTCATGATCCCAATGGACCAGAACCTCTCACACCCAACCATATTCTAACGATGAAATCATCAGTTATTCTGCCCCCTCCCGGGCAGTTTTGCAAAGAAGATCTCTATTTGCGCAAACGTTGGAGAAGAGTGCAGTTCTTAGCTGATGAATTCTGGCAAAGATGGAAGCGGGAATACTTGCTAAACCTTCAACAACGACAGAAATGGCAAAGAACAACACGGAATTCACAAGTGGATGACATTGTGATTCTACAAGATGACAGCTCTCCAAGAAACGAATGGAAGCTTGCCAGGGTCGTAGAAGTTCACCCTAGTGCAGACAGTATGGTGCGGAAGTTGAAGCTACTAGTCGGAGACACTACTGATAAAGGACAGCCACTAACTAAAAGAATCTACCTCGAAAGGCCCATTCACAAAGTAGTTACCTTACTTGAATCTAACTGAGTCACATACACAAGATTACATTCATTCAGTCTTACAACACCTTTAATTGACCTTCCACGTATAGAAATCCTACATTTCAAGTTAATTAGGGATTTGGTGGGAGTGTAAGTGTTGTTGCATAAATACTTGTGTTTTCATGATGCACAGTTCATATTGCTGTTATAATTTCATGTAACAAATATAACTTAATTTGGTGTAAAGATAAAATGTAATACATGTTTAAGAACTAAAGGGTAGAATAAGCTGCTAAATGATATGTGGTTAACAGTGTATCTATCTCATTCTGTATATTTACGTTTGTCCCGGAACTAATGTTTTCTGTCTGTGTTACCGCTACAACGGTTTAAGTCGACACTCACTGCCTTGAATTCCGGCGGAGCAGATAGCTCCGATGCTTGTTAAACTGCATTAAAGTTAAAAATGTGGTTTGAAGTTAATGCAGACGACCAAATGGACATTCAAGAGACTTCAAAGAACTTAGTAACCTCTTTTCACGACAAGCGGCCAACGAGGTATTATTATATTGTCTTTATTGATCTGGATGTTGTTTGTATTTTCTCTGCTAAGCTATAATGTATTGATTTATTTGTACTGTGTTCACTTACAATGTAGTTCTCACGGCGTATAAGGCATATACGACGTTCAAGGCGTACATGGTGTGAGGCTGGATGTACCAAAGAGACCCGATGTGCCCACAGCAATAAACGCCCGTTGCAAAGAACTGACCTGTGTCTGTGTTGTCGCGAAGAGAGCTACAGTTATAGAGCATATTTGTGAGGTATTATAGTACACTCATGTTGCTTACTATGACAACATAAAATGAGACTGTTAACGGTTAAGCCGCTAGCTTAATATTGCTAATATGAAACTTTCTGTTCTTGGTGCCCTAATTTGTACTAATGGAGATCAGTGCAACGGCAGAAATTTACATCATACTTTCTTGGATCCTATCCCCTTATCTCCTTTTTTAAAATACAACTTTAAGCTCCAAACTTGTCCAGTGAAAATATTTGCTGTGAGAATCTTGGGATGTTACGATCACGGTGTTAATGGTTGTTTTGTACAGCTTTTTCTTTAAGCACAAACCTTACAAAATTACTGAGTGTTGCATTAAATCATTAAATGTTGTTAGCTAGTGAAATACTGTGCTGTAACATTATATGTACTAACGTTAATTGTTATGCTGTCTATTGTGTTTTTACAGTTAACGTTAGCTAAGAGTTAAAGCTGGGGTAGGCAACGTTGGAGAACCAGAAAGCGACAGCTTTATTTTGAAAGTAACTTACCCATCCGAAAAAATGTTACCTGCTGGCTAACATAACCTCCCTACAAACCACTCCCAGAACATGTTTTCCTGTGCAATGAGTGCACGCAGGTAGGCCAGAATGTGCTTATTACAGTCCTGCGACAGGCACAGACACCGGATTTTTATTCATTTTTGTGTAACAGCATTTGATTTATCGATTGCTGTCGTAATGTAAATATGATTTCAACAAATAAGAAAAAAATATTCTGAAATAACCCCCAGCTTTATTGTAAAGCAATATTTTAACTGCTTTGAGCTTTTTTCCAGTACTGTAACATTAACGTTAACTTACTTAAATCTTTTCCTTTTTTACGTTAGCTTAACTTCTGTCTGCTATAACGAAACTTACCTGCAGCGTTAACAAACATGAACAGAAAGTAACTGACTGGAGCTGGTGTGGGACAAAATGCGAGTCACAAGCTGCCACGCTGCTGCAATGAAAAGCCCCTAAACAGTATTATATCACCAAACCACCATCTGATACGTGCTGACCTAAACAGAGAAATGTTTGTCTATCGCTCGTCATCGTGACTCAGAACCCGAGGCAATAACTTCCAGCCACAACTTCTATTACAACATCCACTTTGAAAAACCGGAGCAGAAGGATTTTATGGAAACTGTTACCCACCTGGTCCTTCTCGGTTTTACTGGTTTTGTCTCCGCCGCCTCCTTCTCCTGTGTCTCTCATGTTTTTTTCCTTACTGTTCGACTGCGGAAGAGATAAGGGGTCGACAAGACTTCAGGACTTTTTTCTCACCATTTTCCAATGAGAGGGCTAATTTACTGGATTGCTAAAACTGAAAATGCCCTGGACTATGGGAATGCCATTCACCCAATGTCTCCCTAACCTTCCTACGCAGGTGAGGGTGCGGTTTTACAAGAGGAAGGACTTTTTTCAAATAGCCTACCGCCCTCCAAACTTTAAAGGATAGGAGGGGCCAGTCAAAACATCAGGCATATGATACCTGGGGTTTGTTGGGCTAATGCTAATTAAAACTCCTTAGCACATGAATTGATTTACTCAGCCCCCCCTCACTTGGGTGAGTGAGATTTGGTAAAAATGGAAAGAAAATGATCTTGGTTTACTCAGCCCCCCCCCCCCCTCTATTGTGTTTTTACAGTTAACGTTAGCTAAGAGTTAAAGCTGGGGTAGGCAACGTTGGAGAACCAGAAAGTGACAGCTTTATTTTGAAAGTAACTTACCCATCCGAAAAAATGTTACCTGCTGGCTAACATAACCTCCCTACAAACCACTCCCAGAACATGTTTTCCTGTGCAATGAGTGATGACACACTTTGATACCACAAGCAGACAGACAAATGAAGACACACGCCTTGTGCACTTTGCTGCTGACATGGTTGCCTTAAATTATCACATGGTGCAGCCTGGATTTCCAACAGGGCAAGTGGGGAGGTTGAAATTTTTTTCAAGATAAATAAGAATATGTGGTCATTCAGGTAAAATGTAAATTCAAAGGACAGGAATATACTGTACTTAAGACTAATATGCAATCCGTACAAGATCATTTCTAGCCTGAGAATAATGTCTCAGGGCACTTCTACCCCACTGGCAGGTTAATGCAGACATACATACATTTAAACACACACTTGTTTATATTAAATATTTATTGTAAAATGCATTTAAATATCTTATATTTCTTTAAAAGTAATGGGGTTAAACATTTTACACATTCAAACATCTGCCTTCTATGTGCTTACAGAGCATAAATCCATGATAAGTACCAGTCAGTCAGAACATTACATACAGGGATATTGGGTTGTAAATAGGTTGAGAACTCTCCACCCGTTAGTCCATAACTGTTGTCATTCCTCTTGGCCCTATCTGCCATATCCCTGCGGATCGTGGGCCTTTTTCGACTCCTCTTTTCCATTTGTTTTACTCATGTTGTATAAAGTGTTGGCCAGGTTGTGAAGCTGGCATGTCCCAAGTTGGCATCCACGCCGTGAACGCAATTTCACTGCCATGCTGTCAATGATGAAAAGGAGACATAAAATTCATGTACAGGCCTTTAAAACTTCATATACAAAATAATCTTCAGTTTTCTAATAAACAATTAACCTATAAAAGCCATAATTAGTAGAAATGAAATAAACAGTATTTCTTCTGCATTAGTAGCATACTACAGACTGTGTCTTAGCATTTAAAATGTCATATGAAACAAGAGGTGTTTTCAGCCATTCAGTGTACTATTAGCGCTTCTGTAGTTTTGCATTTACAGCCCTCACGCTACATATTGTGAATAATTATGCGCTTTTGTACCTGTGTTTCAGTGCATCCAGGTCTAGATGTTTGTCTTCTGAATGAAATGGAATGATCTTCAGTGTTCGAGCATGCTGCTCCTGTGTGTCCTTTGCCATTTCCCCCCCTGAAGTTTGGACAGTGTCCCCTGGGAGAACAGCGACTGCGTCTGACCTGTGGGTCCATCAGAAAAAGGTATCTATTAATAAATGATTCATTTTGATATTCTGTTCACAGATTAGCCAGCAGTGGGTGATGCATCATTATGGTGACTGTCATTAGCTGTGAATACTGATGTTTTTCACAGACCTGTGAGTTGGTCTAAGTGGTGTGGCAGCAGTCAAAGTCACAGTCAGCAGCAGCAGCAGAATCTCCATACCGCACTGGCCTGTGGTGGAAAAACAGTGATGGTGAGGAAAACACACTGTCCTGACCAGATGTATTCCTAACAAATAGTTTGTACAACTCACTGTTAGCGGTAATAACACAGAGACAAAACATTCTGTGACAAGAAAAGTCAATAAAGATAACAATTATGGATTAGAGACCTGTTGAAAACAGCAGAAATATGAATCCAAGATGAAACTTACTGCCAAGTATATCCCCCAAAACACTCCTGTGAATTTTCGAGTAAACCATTCGTAGTCTGTTGTTGATTGCTGGATGCCCAAATCAGTCATCCTTCTCCACTTCTGCTCCTTTATAGCGTGATGGCAGGGTGAAGGGGCGTGTCATGCTCCCAGAGAAACTCCCACGCCTATTATTTACAGCTATGGTGGCAGTTTAGCAAGAGCTGTGATACTAACATAAACAACCTTGTACTTACACGTGAAGTGACCTTGTGTTATGTTTGCATTGATATGGTCAGTCTTTACCCCCCCCCCTCCCCCCCATCCGCATCCCATTCTAACCTCATTCCACTTGCTGAGCAATTGTTCCCAGAAATCATTCTTTCATCTCTATCACCTGCAGGAAGCCCGCAGAGACCAAAATAACCCCAATTTTCCTCTAGGCTTTTCTTTATCGCTCCATTTTTCCTGTGCCTTTTTCCCTTGAGTCATTTTTGCCGTCACCGTGTTTATTCCTGAAATGTCCAGCACTCACCCCCCCCCCCCCCCACACACACACACACTCACACACACTCACACACACACACACACACACACACACACACACACACACAAACACACAAACAGACATGTGCAGTGTTTCAAAAACAACTTCTTGATCGTACATCATTCCTAAAAGACAATAAATCCAAGATAATGTGATAAAATTATAGCATTCAGGTATGGTACATATCTTTGCTAACCCACTTACAAATGGCCACAGAAATAACTTTTCAGGTTGTGCACATGGCCAAATTTTAATATCTCTCTATGAAATTGTCCCATAATTCCTAATCTTTTGATAATACAGTAAATCCATGGGGAGCCAGTGTCAGATTTAATGGTTTCCAACCTCCCCGCTTTGTTTCTTCCAGCCTCTCTCCTTCTTTACTGAATCACTTCCCCTCTCCAGTCTGTTGTCTACCTTTCCTGTGAATGCCATCTGGGCAGGTTGAGTTGTCAAAGTAGTGCAATGAGTCAACACTGGCGAAATGCATGCGAGAGAGTTAGCCGTCAAATGATAAGGCAGTCTTGTGATTTCACATATGATTAAGCATGGATTACCTAAGTGTTGTTTTATGAAGCATTTCCCCTGAAAGTTTTACAACTTGCATGACGATGAGGATTACGTGCCAAAAGACAGCAGAGTCTCTTGGTAAACCAGTTCCTGTACATATGCTGCTACCTAGCTTTGAGTAAATTGTTCGTTTCTAACAAAGGCATTGTCACATTTTAAACATTTTAAACCCAAGTAAATGCATTCTACTATCACAAACTCCATCACTAATAACAGCTTGAAAATGAGTTGATTAATGGATAAGTCAGTTGACAGAAAATCAACCTGCAATTATTTTGATAATGAATTCACTGTTGAAGTAATTTTTCAAGCAGAAACCATAAACATTCCCTTGTCCAGCTTCTCAAGCACGAGGATTTCCGGCTTTTCTGTGTTATATGGGGTCATAAACTGAATATCTTTGGGTTTTAGACTGTTGATCAGACAAAACAAGCCATTTCATGACACTGGCTGGACATCTACTTTGTGCATCAAAAACACGGACTGCTGCCGCACCCAGCCAAGTGGCTATTACTGGCACAAATAGGTCCGCAAGATCAGTAGACGGGACACAGGAACGAGTCAACGAGTTAAACCAGATTTTCAACAGGTTTGGCTCACTAATGCAGGCCAGACCCCCCTTATATCTATCTTTGATCATGAAGACAATATAGCAATTTGACACAGTAGTAACAGGCTGATATAAAATATGTAGGGCTGGGCAAGTTAACGCATTATTATTGCGTTAATGCATTAATGAATTAACACAAACAATTATATTATCTCACGTTAACGCAGTTTTTATTTTTATTAGCCTATTATTTTGAAAGTCAGTTGCTCACTGGCTCTGAATACACATACAGTCAAACCATGGGTCACAGGAGGGGTGGGATGTTGATCAGCCTGCAAATCACCCACCCAAACAAGAAGCGGAGGAGGCTTCGCTGGATGCAGCATGTGGGAGAAGATAGACAAAAGCAAGACAAGTGAACAAATGCCATAGCAAAGTGGATAGCTACACACTGCATGCTGATTAGTAAAACTCACAAACTGCAAGGATCAGTCTCTCTTCCAATGATTTGTGCTGCGCGGCGTCTACAAAAAGTTCAAGACTATTCAACTTCGGCAGCGGGCGGGAGTGTGCGTGAAGCGAGCACTTCAGTTCACTCTAACAGGGACATTTGCTACTGAACAAAAAAAAATTGTTTCCGCTGTTAACCTGTTGCTCAGAAGGTGCCTGTTATGATGTTATGATCGTGGCTCTGGACTCTGATGGTAACTTGTTTTAACAAGCTAGATAAAAGGTAATGCCCTGGCAGTGGAAAATAACTTTGCTTTTATATTTGATTTGATTACATTAATGTTTAAGTTGAGATTTACAAGAAATATTTTATTGCTACTGTGTAAAGGGAATACTGCTGGTAAAAAGCACCTTATTTGTTTAAAGTGTGCAAACCACATGTTATTGCACTTTTGTGTATATAACAGTACATTTAAATTAAATGTGCACAATACACTACTTTAGAATTCATTATTCAATTTTGTGCATAACAATACGATTAATCGCAGAAAATCATGCAATTAATCGTGATTACATTTTTTAATCATTGCCCAGCACTGCAAATATGTCTTCATAGAAGACTTTAGACTTGTTGACAATTAATTCATACTTGAGAATGTCTTTATAGCTACGCATAACTACATTATAGTGTGTTAAGAACATTCATTAAATGTTTATATACTGCTTATAAATGTTACTGTGACTCAAATTACTGGACACACGATGTGTCCATACACATACACTGAAAGTTCATTCTCAGGGCATTTGCACTTGAGGTTTCAA